GGGGGGGGGGGGGGGGGGGGTACTATGAAGTGATGATAAAAAAAAGATAACGCATGTGTGCATACCGAAGTGATCCCTTTCCCCCGGCCTGCAGGCTTGAAGGCTAGTTTAATGGTAGCATTGGTGTATGATGACGGCGGCATAGAACAGTATAGTTCGTGCGGTCGCAGCGGAAGCATCGAAAACACTGCGACAACAAAAACCCACCACCTCAGGGCCGATTTTCATATCTAAACCCGTCCGACACCGAAAGGCCACATACACACCATAAAGCGTGTCGAAACCCAACACAGACCCCCGTACCACCTTCGGCAAACTAGGAAGGAAGGAATGACCATCTGCGATGGGTCCTGTCGGAACAATGCTAGGACGCGTGGTCAAAGAGCCTACCAGCTAAGGCACGCACAGCATAAGTACATTCCCCCGTGCTGTCTACCGTAGGAGCATCGGTGAACGAACGGAGCGGCCACCCACCTTTGTCCCTAGCTCGTACTCCTTATCTCTCCTAGCCTGGGCCTTCTTGGAGAGGGCCTGGTTGGGATCTCTGGGTTGGAGCGGGGCCCCGCGGCCGGAGCTGCTGTACACGGTCCACTTCCCGTTCCGTCGGTAGTTCTTCGGTGGGTTTTCTGGTCCCTCCCTGCCCTCCTGCATGTCCATCGCCAAGCAGCGCGCCCTGGAAAATATATTTTGGACACATTGGGAAAGAATGTCCATCGTTAGCCCACGTGTTGCATATTCCAAAGCAACAGACTGTACAGCCGGGAAGGAGGAGGCGTTTTTGCGGAGCTCCTTGCCGTCGGTTGCCTGACATGACTTTTACATATTTGTGGGCAAGTATTCCGTTGAGCTGAGACGTTTGAGCGGCGGGCCCGCACACACACAGGGCGAGAGGTGTGCAGAGAAAGAGACAAAGAGAGAGAGATGCACTCACTCCTGATCTGCTACTGCTTGCTGTTGTTGTTGTGTTGTTACCGGTGTGGAAGCAACACGCAGAGAGGGGGAGAGAGAGAGAGAGAGATGTAGCCACCAGCTTCTTGCCGTTCGATTATATATATTTTCTCGTTTCTTTCGTGATCGAAGGAGGCATCTTGGTTCTACACAAACGCTGCGAACATCGCGAGGACGGTGCTTATCATGGGAGCATGCCTTTGCACACACTATTGGTGCCCCCACTACTGTAGTACCTGCAGGTGCTACTGCTACTGCTGTTGTTGCCCTACTTGCTGATTGACGCTGCTTCGCTGTCTGTATTTGCTGGTACATGTTTATAGAGAAGGAGCTCGACGACGCTATAATAGCCGTCGGAGAGAACCTGCATCAATGGAGCGGGGACATGAGGGCGATCATCCAATGCGGTGTCAGGCCTAGGTGCTCTCCCCCCGCTTCTGTGCATTGTTGCAGAAATCTGTTTCGACCATGGGTGTCGCGGTGGTCGAGATACGGCAGTAGCTTCACGAGAGAAAAGGCTTACAGCAGTAATTACCTCGTGGATTGTTTTCTGTTGTTTTTCTCAGGCGACGCTATGTATTCTAAAAAACAATCGCCCGTAAAAATGAAGTCCAGACGCCCAGCCAGTATCAAAAGGCTTTCGATACACTCATCCCCTTCGGCTGCTATAGGTAATGTACAATTATCTCGAACGGGTATCTACTCTTTCTTGTGATTGTGCTTCGACACGACTGGTGTAGTTGTATTTAGCTTCTGCCCCAGCTGAAAAAATCGGTAAACAACCTCCGCCTAATGATATCGTGAGCTACAGCAGTACATCAGATGTACATGTAAAACATGGCGTGTACTTTGGAGATGGCGGCCAAAACGCACGCGTTAATAAGCATTTGGCATCTACGAGGCACGTACGTACGTGCCCAGAACCAATGAGGGCACGGCTGTCTGAACGTCTTGACCGAAAAAAAAATAAACGCAACGACCAAACGGTACTTCAAAGCGATACTTCAACGGAGAACGCAGGCCATGACGACAACAGCACTCTTGTGCTTGTGTGGACGTTCCAAGAGCTGCGATGCCACCCCCAAAGAGGAGCAGGATTGTAACCACATGTTTTTGCCATCTACCGATATAGAAGACGCAAAGGGCAGCCAGACCTTGCGATCGGGGGCGGAACAACCGTTTGACTGGGGGCAACGGACCACAGCAGTATGGGAATCGTTGATTTGGTGGAATTTGATTGCGTGGAATACATACACGCGTCGTATATGCTATGCAAGCGTCAAGTGAGAGGTGGGTATGCGGCGTGTGCGTGAGCTCGTTGCTCCGCACGACCCAGCATCCCACAGCCGACGCACGCATTGAAATGAAAACATGAAAGATACGCTTTTTTCGGCGTGGAAACCGCACACGTTCCCAACACCACTGGGAAGCTCAGGCACACGCCGGCCCCCGTGCTCGCCTGACGTCGTGCGTTGCATCATCGGCCGTTGCCTTGCCTTTCACGTAAACAGCTACAGGAGTTGCTGACGTACTGCAGCAGCCTCATGGGCTGTTGTAACACAACAAGGACGCGGCTTTGTGCTGGCCGTGGCGAGGAAGGCATCAGGTCGCACGTTTCCTTCAGCTACGGCTGTCTGTGGTGGTGGTGGTCGGTGTGTTGGTGCTGCGTTCTGCTGCACCGAAGTGACAACGTCAACACCTGGAAAAACACGCTCTTTTTTTATCGGTGTGACGTTTCGGAAGGCATAGACAGACAGGCGTGACTAAACGCACAGAAGGTTAGAAACATATTATACTTCCACGCCTCACACGCGAGCATGTTCATCAGTCCAACCGTACATGTCACACGCACGGCGGCAAAGCGTCACGTAGCAATACGACCCCTGGTCCGCACTCGCACCCACACAGGTTATTGACCAGTATGAGACACACAAGCTCACGTGCGTTTGCTGCTCACAGCAGTCTTCGCATACAAAACATACGGTGACCCCGTTTCTGCATCAATCTTCAGGATATATTTTCGGTCTCCCAGCTCGCTGGACGAGCGATTGCGGGGAGCTTGCTTTCCCGTGCATGCCATCGATGTTGGGTACGTTGGTGTGAGGAAAAGCATGAACCGGCAGAGAGCACGCGTCCCTCTTTCTCGAAAGTGATAAGGAAACAAAGTGAGAATCGGGGAGAGCACGAGCGAGAGAAGGGGGGAAACTTCACCTGGTTTGGCTGATGCCCTGGCAGCCACCTCTCGACAAGCATGCACGCCTACCCAGAAGTCGCTGCCGCTGCAGACAGCTGGGTGCCACGAACGCGGCCGCATCCCCGGAAACGCGCTGGTAGCCGCACGAGAGCGCCAGGATCGGCATCAGCATGAGGCACACGCTGAGCCGTTGATGATGCTGGTTGTCCGACATCATGCGGAGAGAGAGAAGAGGAGAGGAGAGTGACGTTTGCGTACACCCTCAACTCTCTCTCTCTCTCTACCTGTGCCGCGCAATCCCTGATCTACCGGCCAAGAACGCACACACCGCACCACCCTCTATGGTCCAGGCCCTCTCCTTGACTCTCTTCCGCCAAGTGACCGGCTCAAAACGCTGGTGTGATGGGTGAGGGGTGACGAGTGTTGGACCGGTGACCGGTGCGTGTGTGCGTGTTTCTTTTTTTTTTCATACGCAGGATACCACCCTGCCGGCAGTTGCAATTGGCGACGCGGTCCAACTCCCCCTCCGTTGCTTTGAAGTTCCCAAGTGCCAATAAGCTCAACGGAGACAGCAGACAACCTGCGAGGGATGTCGGATGACTCAGGTTTGTCAGCCCTTGCGGTGGTGATGATCGTGTCCTGCGTGGCGCTGGTCATGACGACCAACCGTGTGTATGGGCAGCCCTCAGAGCAGCAGCAGCAGCGTGGACGAAAAAGGCTTCTACGCCAGCACTAGTAGCACCAGCAGGGCCAGCAGAGAGAGGACTGCAACAAGCACTGGCAATGTATTCGGCAGAGTTCCCGAGTTTGGAGTGCTGGAGGTGATCTTGTCTTTCCTCTCGCCCGCAGATCTAGTCGGCACCGAAGCCGTCTCGACGACGTTTCGAAGGTCGAGCATTGCGGAGCATCTGTGGATGCAACACTGCGTACGAACCTTTTCGCTGCTGGCGCAGCCAGGAGAGGCCTGGTGCCTAGAACAGCAGCAGGAAGAGCACCAGCACCGTCATGTCCGGCACCGACATAACCGCAGCGGGAGGACGACGAGGAGGAGGAGGAGGAGGAGGGGTGGGAAGGTAGCGGCCGATTCCGTCAGAGTAAGGCCAGCTACAGCAGTTGTTGCTCACGCAGCAGCAGCGGGAGGGGAGGGTATCATGAAGGGACACACGCAGGGCCTCCACTAGCGCCATCAACTACTACTTCTCGAACTGCAGACGCGAGAAGAAGCGGTAGCTGCGGCAGGAACGGTAGCGGCGGGCCCCCGTCGCCTTCCTCTCTCTCCCGGTCCGGCTACCACTGCCCATGGCGAGAAGCATTCTTCCGCGCCCATCGCGCCAGACCTCTTCACCTGCTGGGAAAGCTCTCCTCCTCCCTGCCGTCCAATGTTCAGCAACCACCATCATCACAACCGGCACCAAAACAGCTTTGCATTATTGTCCTGCACGGAAAGGTCTACGACCTCGCCGGCTTTCTCTCATCCCACCCAGGCGGCGCGCTAATCCTTCAGGAACACGCCTCCACGGATGCAACGGAGGCGTTTGAGAGGTGAAGAGGAGGAGCTGTCATGCGTCTCTCTTCATGCTAGATAGTGTATGTGTACTAAAAGTATCAGTACAGGAGTAGATACTGTAGATACCAGCTGCACGGCGTGCGTGAAGATGTTACCCACACATGTTCATGAAAATGGCACCCGCTCCTTTCCGGCTTGTAGGCATCCCTGTGTTTTGAGCTTTTACCTCATGACCATCTCACCACCACATGGCGGCGTAGGCCGGTACGCCATGAATCTCATGTACATGGCGTATACTTGTCGAAACGACACCCGCCGTCTTTTTCTATTACTGCTGTAGTAGCCTGCAACAGCTGCCGATCGAGCTGCTCTTCGTGCTTCCGAGGCTAGAGAGGTGTGGCCATGTGCGGCACCGAACGACCCCGAAAGCGCTCCCCCCGTTTCCCCCGTTTGAAAAGGCGGGAAGGGATATGGTTAGGGTAGATAGACTAGGGACGAAATTTTTTAGCCACCTTTGGCAAAGTAGGAAGGAACGATTGGCCATCGATGATCGACCCTGTAGGAACAACACTCCGTCCTCTCGAGGACGCGTGGTCGATGGTCTAACGGCTAAGGCATGCAAAACATAAGAGTACGCCCCCCCCCCCCCGTTTCCCCCGTTGGTCGCACGACTCAGGTTTTTCCACTCCCGAGAGGCACGAAGGATGGCAAGGCGGTTCGTGGTGTGGGATGGGGAGGCGGTCATGGGGAGAAAGGGCACCCTCTGGAGGTTTGCACACCAAGGCGTTTTCTACTCGCGAAAAGGGAAGTAGTGCAGCAGCGGCAGGAGCAGGGGGAACACCGGTGGTTTTGGTCGGTTTCGGTTGGGTAGGTGAATCGCTCGTTTTTTTTGGAGGGGCGGCTGCGCCGGGTAACCCTCTTTTCTCCATGGACGCTGAAGGCGCTCTCACTGCTGTGTGTGATACATTATCTCGAAAGGGGAGTCTTTCTTTGGTTGTATGTATACTAAGTATTTTCTAACAAGTAGATGCAGCGTACATAGCGGCGGTGGAGGTGATAAAGGAAATATGGCGGGCGGTTGAGGTGATAATGGAAAATTCCTTTCCACCGGGCGGGGGGGGGGCGATTTGCCTACGGAGGCGCCACCAACGACACTCATCTCGCCTTTTGGTTGCACTTGCGCCATTGTCGCAGCGCCAGGCCAGGCGGTTAGAGGGGTACCCACCTCGAAGGAGGTCTATCCCGTCAGTATGCATCGCCATGAGTAGCACTGGTCGGGAAAGAGGAGGGGTGATGCCGAAGAGGGAGTAGACGCTGTGATCGTCCTGCTTGCTCGTCAGCGGTGTCTGCGTGAGGACTGGCTGACCTTTCCTCCGGCAGAACCCACGAGAGCCCTCAACGTTCTTCTGTACCGTTGCTTGTCGATGGTGCAGGAAGTGCAGATGAAGCCACCAAGGAGTGGATAGACAAGACCCACCTTGCCGTGGTGCTGTGGCTAAAGTAGTCTTGGCTCCGCTACAAGAAAGAGTGTACCTTACAAAGGAGGAGTGCACCTTAATAAAGGGGGGCTCCGATGTAAGAGGGTCGAGGGCCTTTGTCATTGACCATCCTCTTATATCGGGGCCACGATACTGCTGGTATGTACTAACCTCAAGAGTTCGGCTTGCTGCTCTCACGGAAGAAAGAAGCGTCTTGTGTTGTAGCGTGGGGGGGCCGACTCTGTAGAAAGAGAGAGAGGGAGAGGAGGACGAATGCAAAGAAACTCTGTGTCTGGGGGTGTTTGGTCACGGACGGCGCAGAAGATGTTTCTCTTTCTTCTTCGGGGCGATACGTCATGCGCAGCGCTTGGCTGCAATGGTTTTTTCGTCTGTCGCAAGGACGTTGTGTGCAGCAGTAATTTATATCCGTCAAGGAGTCTTCTCTGCTGCCTACCCGCAATTGAGAGAGGTGATGCGGTGAGAGCCGGGCTTTGCCAGTGCTGTGGTCCTGTTCCTTGTGGCACGCACCTACTGCGCATCAATACGCAATTATTGTACTTGTGTTTGTTTTCGTATTTTCCACACCACCACCCATCTATTGTGTAGTTTATGTCGTTTCCCATCTAGCACACACCGTTTGCCGGTGTGCGAACTCCCCGTTCTCCAGCCCGCCAGAAGTTACCCAAGTGAACAACTTGGAGTGGATGCACTTCAGGGGTTAGAGGAAATATGGTCAGAGCGTGGCCTACTGTACCTCTCGTGATGCTGAGAAGAAATACAACCCTAGCCCTCTACCTCAGATGTACCGTATTAGATGTATATACTCTGCACGGAGATTTTAAGGGTCTCTCAGTTAAGCACAGGAACACAAAAAAGTCAACTGGGTTTCTTTTCGAAAAATCTAGATATGTGCGCCCGTCCAACGAACAGGAACCACCCCAGATACATACGTAGTACGACCAATGCTTTATTCGTTGTTTTCACGCTTGCTTGTTCTATAAATTTGATGGCACGAACCACGGCGACCGACGGTGTAATGTGTACATACTACCGCTCGATCCGGCCACGCCGAAAACATCTGTTGCTTTATTTTAGCGTTGAACTACAATATGTACCGACCGCGTGGTACTCCTGGTGGCCAACCTGCCTGGTCGGAAGAAGTTACAGTAGTTGTTGTTGTTCGTGTTGTTGGCTGCTTGGTCGGTGATGGCTGCTCCCGATCTTTTTATTCCCTTCCTGGGCCTCTCGCTCGGTATGTACGCGTTTTAGAGGACGAGCGATGATGTGGGCGTCGCTCTCGTTGATGTCATCGAACGAACATAAAAACAAACTTCGTCCAAGTGTGCAGCAGTACGATGAATGCTTCTCCGCCACACAGCAAGATCAAGGAAGGGGTCAGACATCCTTCCGAGAACGCCCGGGGAGATGATGATGCTCCCGGGGAGATGCAGAGAGACCACATCAATGATCACCACCCCCCTCCTGACCGTTAAACTTCTAGAAAGAGGGTGGGGCGGGAGGTGGGGAAGTTGTTCATATTTTTCCGTTCGCGGCGAGTACGCCGCAATTCGCCGTACCGTGCTACAGTACATAATAAGAAAATTGGAAAATTTAGGCGTCACCACCACGCCGGTCGCTGTGGGACAGAGGAAAAACAAGAATAATGGTTGAATTTTTTGAAGTTGGTGGGAACAGAAAACACAAAATGCCAATAGCCGTGATTCTCACATCGTCCCTCTCGTGGTATGTGAGTAGAGGCTAGACTCTTTGCGTGCTGGCGATTCCCGGAACTCTCTCTGCAATGTATTCCATAACATGTCGGGAGACGCGGTACTCCCACAAGCGCATCGCCCCGAACCCAACGCTTTTCTAGAAATCGAGAAATTTCTTTTGTGCCCTCTCGGAAATTTATTCGGACCGTTCTTCGTCAAAAAAATAAAAAAAAACGGCTCGGGTCGCTTCGCGATCCACCCACCTCGGCTCACTCCCACACTTCACCCTCCACAACCCTCCATCACACGCCAACACCACCGCAAGGCACCTTCCTCCGTCGAAGCACCAGCAGCCCAACCCTCGCATATTCTTCTCAGCCACCCGCAACACAGCAAACATGGTGTTCTCGATCCGCGTAGCTCTGGTGGTGGTGCTGGTGGCCTTGGCATCCCTGAGCGGTACCGGTGCGGAGAGGTTGGGGCAGGGCTCTCGTCACCTTCAGGAGACGAGCACGCCGTCTGCTTCCCCGGCGACTCCGGCACCGTCCTCCCCGATCGACTTCGAGACGATGGCGCCTTCGAGTGCGCCGACGGCTACCGACCGTGACCTAGAGACCGAGGCGCCCGTGACGAACTCGGCCTCCATGGCCGCGGGTGCGTCCTTCGCGGCCGTGTTCGCTGGCGTCGCGCTGGCTGTGATGATGGCGTAAAAGGAACAAAGGAGGTGAGAGTTGGGTCTCGTTGAGGGCGCCCGCATTGTTTTCTGTCCCCCGTTGTGTGTATTGTGTAGTGTCTGATCTGGTTGCTGTTTGTGGGAGAGAGGGGGTCTTCCGGGTGGCGCGCGGGGAGCTGTGGGATCTTCGTCCGGCAGCCCGAAAACTCTCTCCCGCCAAGGTATCTTCTCGTCTCTCTCCCTTCTCTCCTGCCTCCCTCCAGTTGTGATCACCTATTTTTCGGATCTGACTTTCTCGCACCGATTTCTCTCTTCCGCGTTCAACAGGAATGTCTACGGCTGCGGCTGCTGCTGCTGTGCTACTGCTTGGGGGGCACTGCCTTCTTTCCAGCAGCGGTGGAGATACGAGATACGTGAACAGATCGTCGATGAGGCGGGATCCAGGATCCAGCACAGCGGGTCATCGCTTCTTCGCCGAGATCTTGAGATCCTTGCGGCGGGATCAAGAACACTCCCCTGTCCGGCTAGTTGATGACCCTCAAACGATCGGTCGAGCGTGATTGCGGTGAGCAATCAAAGCGGGCCAGACGGTCAGCAACAGAGTGTCTGTGTCGGTCCGCGTGTAGCTGTTTATTTTCAGCTGTGTTTTTTTCGGTACAAGAGTTTGTTTTTTGTCGTATTATGTTGTGTGCACGATAGCGTGGTTGACGCTACGCCTCCTCTTCATCGGCTGACGACAGAACAATTTTTTCGAGGCTGCGCGAAACTTGCGTGTTGGAGGTGTGCTCTTGTCTGGTTCTTCCCTTGGGAAGAACGCTGTCGTTGTAGTGTGTGCTTGCTCGAAGAGGATTTGTGTGCGTACATCAAGTGGGTGTAGATGTTGCTTGATCGTGGGCAATCCTCCCCCGCAATAAATACTTGGGGGTGGGATTTGGGGTCTTGGCTCCTCGTCTTCCTCCGCAAAATTTTCGAGTGTTGTATGCAAACGAAGTACATGTACGTACGCGAGGTTCATGGTGTGTTTGCTTCGTCGTGTGGTCTAGTCCCAACGCCGTAGTAGGCGTCGTTCAGAAGTCAGTTTTGGGCTAACGTGGCCAGGCCACGCCGCAACTACAACAACTACAGTGTGTATGTCGGCGCTCGCGTACACGTTGTTGTTCCATGAAGTCGAACTACTGCTGTTACATGTGTAGCGCGAAGATACGGTTGTGAAGAGTGAAGAGTTCGTGCGAGTTGAAAGGAAGGGCGGCAGCCAGAAGATTTGCCTTTGCTATTTCTCTTGTGTGTTCTGCCCGTGCATTTGCACCTTGGTCGTTGGCATTGCAAGCCATACCTTGTCAGGTGGTTTTGTTATTTGTTCGGATCGGCAGAGGGAAAGAGGTGACTTGCCGCTGCTTTCGTTCTTTTTTTTTTCTCTTCTGGTGCCTGGATTGAGTCGGGGCCGACAAAGTTAGTTGAATAATAGGCAGGGCTGTAAGGTTGCTCTACCTCAGCAGGCGCAAAAAATGAAGCAGACTCCATCAATGTGCAGTAGTATGGGTCTTCCATCTGTCTCTACGGCTGCTTCGTACACAGGGCGTACACAACGCTTTTTTCCCGATCGTTGGGAAAGGTCTGATGATTCAGAAATCGGAAATGCATTGCGTGTTGTTGATATGTGGTCGATAACTACTGCTGCTGTAGGTGAGTCTGGGCGCCTCTCCGAATGGTTTGACACCTCGCACGTAGCGCTGCCAACAGGGTCGCGCTCGGCGGTCAAACTCATCATCATGTACATCCGTGTGTTTGACTTGTTTCTTGTTCGCTCCAAGAGTACGGCGGGTGCTGCCTTGTGCGTCCCGTTATGACTTGACCTGTTTTTCATGTTTTTACGTGTAGTGTGTGCGTGTGCGGGAGCAGAAGTAGGACAAGGACCGGGAGGGAGACTTGGCCCACGGGAGATACGATATGCATAGACTATGCATTCGCGTTTGCACGAAGGAGTGTTTTTTTTTTTTCCCGTTGTTTTCCCGTTGTTGCGAAGTCGTGTGGGTTTGAGTTTGCTTTTCCTCGGCCTTTTTGCTTGCGTGCGTAGACGCAGTAGAGAAAAGGGGAGAGAATGCCACGTGAAATAATCTGATAATTGATATTTTATCGCAACATTCTGTCTAAAATGATGGCATGTTCTTTGTCGGCAAGCAGCATAAATCACGGACAATTCGATCGACGATTGAACCGCATGGGTTTCTGCCGTAAGCTGCCGTACCTATTTCCGCTTTGAGCCATGCTTGGCCAAACGGCCGTTCAAGCTTGTTTGAGCGAGTGCCGGGGGGGCGTAAGCTCCTATCGGCAGGAGGGTCCATAGATTTTTTGCCGGCATCCTTGCGCGTGGCACACATCAGCGTGTCAAGCGTATGTGTTACTCCGCACCCGGTTCAGAAATATTTGTTGCTCAACTCGTATCGAACCTCCATGTTGCTTGCTGGCCTGAACTGGTTCTGAAACTCTCGGAGCTCACATCATTCACAGATAGATGGCCATCTTTGAGAACTCGAGAGTTCTCTTTTCTTCTCAACATGAAGACACTCTAGACCTAGATCTACTAGTCACAAGTACCTTGTAGTCCTGTCGGTTTCCCTGAAGAGGAGGTACTGACGCCAACACAGGCCAAAGTGAGAGTTTCTTCCGTCGATCGGTACCGTGCTCGCAGAGGCTCTTGTCTACCCCCTTTTCTTGCGGGTGGCCTACTTCTCCTGAACGCTTGGATTTAGAGTTTCACCCAACAAAGCAGGATTCTTCTGCTGTCCTCGAGTACACCCATGAGCAGGCGCTTGTCATCATCCCTCAACAACACAAGCGAGAGTCGCCGTCGTATCCGGACGCATTTTCAGTGAGCGGTGCTGGATTAAATCCGCATGCCTCGCTTTCAACAGAAACCCACCGCGTTTCTTGGTTGCCAATGCCAATCAAGGTAACGTGCCCTCTCGGTCAGACAACTTCGCTTCCCACGATCCAGCTCATGAACATATGTCCACGATCGAGCAAGTATTTCGGCACATATTCTCGTATTCTTTTACGGTGTATCATAGGCGACACCTATCATGAACAAGGTGTCACCTATCTAAGAATACTCCGATGCCAAGAAGAACACATACTGCCCATCTGTAGACACATCGGACACCTGTCGCGTAGCTTAATTTCCCTACCACACACTTCCAGCTTTGAATCTAAATAATTCTGCTCTCGGTACCTAAACGTCCTGCTTGCAACGCCCGACACACGACCCTGCTGATTCCGAGATAGTCGGCCCTGCTGCCACAAAAAAAACGTAACAACGTCCACAACGTCACCTGGGTCAGCCTGGCCAAACGCGATTCGAAGCCCTCAAACATCTCTCACCGAGAACCTCGAGAGCACGTACGACTTACCATGACCTCTCGCACTTGAATCTGCTGTTCATCGTATCTCAGAACCTGGTTTGTCAAGTAAAAACCTTTGCTTCGCTTGCGAACGAACGTCACCGTTCTCCGACTTATTTTCGTTCCACATCTATCTTCACAAACAGCTAGCTGCCTCTCTGTCCTGTCTGGACGGACGTTTTTGTACCAATAGACAAACATCCAAGGTCCAGGTGCTCAAGTTGGTGCTATTGGTTTCAACAAAAGGAAATTCTTGCTTCTTTTGGCCCACCTAGCTCCGCGTTTTGCCGCTTTGTTTTTTGCCCCTGTGTTGTTTTTGTTGCGTAACATAAGGGTCAAGTAGATTATGTTGTACGGGGTCGAGAACCCTCACTCCGCGCAAAGGGGATGATTGCACCACGTTGTGTTAAATTGGTCAAGCACCCTCGTGGCAGCTACACAGTGCTTACACCTGTCTCTGGAAGTGATAGCACGAGAAAATAATGTAAGTCATACGCAGCTGTCATCCGCTGCAAGGAAGTATGCACAAGATGCCGAACACCCTTAGCAGGATGCAGCGCACCCTTCATGCGACTAGCCGAATGCCTCACGGTGTTTCGCGCTTGGCGATGTGAGAGCCTGGTCCGGCGAGAATCCGGCGTGCTCCGTCCCGGCTTTGTAGGGGTGCGAGGTCAATGGTCTAACGACTACGGCATGCACGACTATGAGTACACCCCCTCTCTTTGTGAAGTATCGCTGATCGAAGGTTGCTACGTGCACTATGCGGTGATATCAGGACGAATAGATCAGCACACACGTGTTCTTAAGACGTCCGAAAACGTCCCGGAGGGGAGAGCAAGCTTTGGGTTTTTTCGGAAATGCACATATCTTGTACTCCCATGCCTTTCCACCTAGGGGTACTTTCTTTGCCTACCTGCGTATGTAACTGCTGCAACAAGACACAAGCATGGCCCTGTCAAGAAGAGTTTTACGGCACCGCCTGGTCAGGGTCGTCGTACTGTGTGGGCGGGCAGACTCGCTTCAGCACGCGTTATGGGTGTGCTTCGTTTGTACGGTATACTACAGCAAAGTGCATGTATGTGCACACGCTTCTCGTCATGGCCAAGGTGCAACACAAAGAAGTACCTCTTACCTTGGCGCATGTCGGTTTCCAGAACTGTGGGCACGAGACAAAGGACGAGCGCCCGTCACGCCACATTCTATATTTGGGGCTTCTTCCTGGTTTAGCGGTTCATAGCTACTATTGAGGCTCTCGGTTTAGCGGTCCTCAACTGGATTGAGCAGCATGCTTGCATAGCGGTCACCTTTCGTCGTGACATGATGTAGGGTTCGCTAAACCAGGCTCCCGTACGGCTTTCAGAATTAGAGCAGCGTTCCTGGGACCAGTCGCGGGTGTCTCACATTTACTGGAAGTTGACACTCTGGTTGTTCGGGACTTAAAGCCGACTTCGCCCATGGTATCTCGACAGATGCCACGAACCTAAAACTTCAACATACACCTTAACCTTTCAATGCTGTGCACACCACAGACTGCCCATAAAGCAAGAGTTTCGTCCCTCTTTCTGCTTTCGTGGCTACCTGAAGCCTTTGTGACTTGCAGTCTAGTGGTCATCGTGCTTCTCAACAACAACCAAGGGATGAGCTAAAAGGGTCCAAGTGTTATAGGCGTTGGTAAGCAAGTTGGTTTGACTTTTGGAAGGGGTTACCGAAACGAAGTTCAGGTGAAACCACCTGTTTTAGTCCCCGTTTGGTTCATCTCTTTTTGAGAGAACAACAATAGTATTTGAATCTCATGCTTGCTCTTGCTCAAGTCGTCGCTCATGCCGACAGGTACCCACTATTGTGTTGCGTGTAAATGGAAATAGCTCCTGCGAGTCCACCGTGAGATGGTGCGGGGGCTGAAGGGTGTCATCCGCCTGCTGCGACAGGAGGAGGCAGTTCACGCGGTCTCTTGGTTGTGGCCAATCGACACCGGTCGTTCTGCAGAGCGTGTGTCTCGGAAGAAATCAACATCGATCGTGCGCATGCTGCCGCTTCTGAAGCGGAGGGCGGCGAAGCCTCGTGTGCTCTTGGCAGCCATGTTTATAATCTCAACATCTACTTCAACATACGTACGCGGGCAAATACTTTTGCCAATGGAATCCTACGGACGACACCAACCAGGTCCTCGGGCTTCGTGCCCTGTACTTGTACGTCTCCTACTCTCATGCACCGTCCCGGTTCCATTGCGTCAACCCAAGCTTTTCAAGGGAACTTCAAGATAGAAACACACCAGACTTGGTTTGTGGCCAGACAGGATCGCGATGCTCACAACCTGTGTCATTAGTGCCGAATTTTCTCGGACAGCTGGGACCTTTTAATGGCCCGTTGATGCACCGCTGTGACCCCACCCGGTATCACAGTCGTGGGCACACAACTCACCAACAACGGTATTCTTAAGAGATGACGCCACCTCTGAAGAACGCGAACGTACGATTTCGTCTCGTACAAGGGTCAGCGTTCTCCGACGAATACGTAACCGTTACACATCTGCAAACACAAATTGCTGCTTGTCTAACCCTTTCCGTGTAGACAAATCTCCAAGGCCCGGCGCCCTCAAGTTATTGCTATTGGTCACCAGGAAGGTCAAGTCTCGCTTGTCTTACCCACCTCCAGTGTTTGGCGTTGTGGTCACCACTCATCCCCAACTGTATCTACAGCGTTTGCATTTTCAATTTCTCCAAACATTCACCATGTCCCCTCCACAATATTCCTCACTATCTCCTTCGGGCCGTCATTTCTACCCTACGAAGCTCACCTCTGTCCGAGTGCTACCACGCTATTCTGCTCTGCCGCATGGGCATGCGCTCGCAACTATCTCCACCATCACTATTGTGGTAGCCTAAACACCCTCGTCTTGAACCTTGTGGAAAACCCAGGCCCGCTACACACACTAAATACTGTTGTCCAAAAAGTGCCCGCGGGGCTGCCCATCTGGGCAAAACAGAATCTCGTGCGAGTGTCCGCAACTCTTCCGGATTCGTCACTACCACCTACCATGATTCTCTGCACCATCCTCACTTCCTTCGTTCATGCCTTTGATTGGATCCAGTCAACTTTTCCGTCGATAGTACCTCTCGTTGCTTCTCCAACATCCTTCCAACTTGTCCGGCCAATTCACTGTCTCTATCATGCAAGGTCGTCCTTTGGACAGGGTGGGCAAATATCGAACCTCATCAAACATAACAGAACAGCGATAGCTCACGATTTCCACAGAGGGCGGATACACGTCCTGATCCGCGATTCCCCGAAACAGAACGCCTACTAATGTATATTTTGCGTAGGCTCATCGGCCAGTCGGTGCCGATCATCCGTTGGGAGAAGTCCTCACCGAACTTTATTTCCTGCAACGCATCGGGCCACGAAGCTTGGGCAATGGGTTGGTTGAACCTTTCCCCGAATGTCAGCTCTCGCAAGGCACCCGGCCACGAAACATGGGCGATGGGTTGATTAAAGTACTTTCCGAAGGTAAGCTTCTGGAGGGAGTCTGGCCATGACACTTGATGAACGGGTTGGTTGAAATCTGTCCCGAATGCGAGCTCTCGAAGGGAAGCCGGCCATGATGCTTGGGCGATGAGTTGGTTGAACTTACCCCCGAAGTAGAGCTCTTGCAACCCATTGGGCCAAGAGACTCGGTCAATGGAATGGTTGAACCATTCCCCGAATCTGACTGCGCGGAGGGAGGGCGGCCACGCAACTTGGGCGATGGGTTGGTTGAACCTGCCCTCACAACCCCCAAACGCCAGCTCTTCCAGGGAGGCTGGCCACGTAGCTTGGGCGATGGGATGGCTGAACCTTTTGCCCAGATCCAGC